TGTGCTAAGCTGCTTCTGGCTGAAGTTCTCTACTTTTATTTTCTGACGGTCTGTCTTCAGTACCTATAATTTGAACTTCTATATCTGTAAAAGTTTTACCCTACTTTGACTTTTGTGGGCCAAGCTTATCATCAAATCTGACACTAATAGATTCTTCCACAATTCGTGTTTCTGTGTTATATACTCTATAACCTTTTGAGCGTTCAGAGTATCCTAACATGAGACTCTTTTGTGCTTTAAAATCAAACTTGTTCATATGTTCTTTAGTGTTCAATATAAAACAAATACATCGAAATGGATGGAAATAAGAGATGTTGGGCTTTATGTTCTTCCACAGTTCATATGGAGTCTTTTCTAGAATAGGTCTTATTGAGATTCTGTTCTGAATATAACATGTTGTGTTAACTGCTTCTACCCAGAAGTTTTTGGCAATGTTAGTCTCATTGATCATGGTTCTGGCCATTTCTTGTAAAATTCTATTCTTTCTTTCTACAACTCTGTTTTGTTGAGGAGTTCTAGGACAAGAGAAATCATGAGAGATGCCATTCTCATTAAAAAAATTCAAATCTTTTGTTTTCAAATTCCCCGCCGTGATCACTTCTGACTTTAATAATTCTAATTTTTGTTTTGTTTTGAACTTGATTACAGAAAGTAGAGAACACAGAGTGTGACTCGTCTTTGTGTTTTAAGAACTTTACCCATGTCCATCTGCTATAGTCATCTACAATCACTAATCCATACTTCTTGCCACTGATGGATGCAGTTTTCACTGGTCCAAACAGGTCTATATGCAGAAGTTCTAATGGTCTAGAGGTAGAAACAAAAAAAATTTATTTGAAAGAGGGTTTTGCAAACTTTCCTTTTTGACATGATTCACACATAGCATCTGAGCTGAACTTCATTTAGGAAGTCCTATAACCAGATTGAGTTTGTTAATCTGAGATATTCTTCTCATACTAACATGCCTCAATCTTCTGTGCCAGACCCATTGCTCATCATTAACAGACATAAGGCATTTTGCATTCTGACTCTTTAGTTCAGAAAGTTTAATCTTATAAATGTTGTTCTTTCTTTACCATTAAAGAGGATAGTTCCATCTTTCTGATTAACTGCTTTACAAGACTTTTGATTAAAGATTATATCATAACCGTTATCACTTAATTAACTTAAGGATAATAAGTTATACATTAATCCATCTATTAACAGAACATTAATTATAGAGGGAAGTGTATAGTTACCAAAGGTTCCATAGCCAATAATCTTTCCTTTCTGATTTCCTCCGAAACCTACATAGCATCCAGATTTAAGTTCCAGACTTTAGAACATATGCTTTCTTCCTGTCATGTGTCGAGAGCATCCAGAGTCTAGGTACTAATATTGGTGTTTCAACTTTGTTGTTAAAGACATATGCCACATAGATGATTTTATCCTTAGGTACCTATCTCTTTTTGGGTCGTTGTTTGTTAGAGTTTCCAAAATTCTGTTTGAATTTAGGTTTCGTAGAGTAAGAGTTACTAGTATATTTTATATCATGTGAATGTCCATATCCAAAGTGTGAATATATAGGTGTGTGTTTTATAACTATATCATCAACTTTCTTTGGTTGATATATTTCTTCTCCTCTTGGTTTCACATATCCTACACCTTTTCTGCCGTTTCTGCTAACTCCATAGATCATTGAAGCCATCTTGCTTCTATCTATGTTTTTAGCTAGAAATTTTTGAAAGCTATGATCATATTCTTTTATGATTTTATCAGAACTATTCGAAACTTCTAAAACAGTTTCTTTCTGAGATTTTTGTAATTCATTTTTAATAACATAGTTTTCATTTTTAAGTTTGAAGATGGTTTCTTTTAACTCAGAGTTTTCTTTTTAGTTTCCTAGTTTCTTCATAGTCAGATACTAGACCGTGTTTCAGGTTCTTATTTTTGACTTGAAGTTGCTGATATCTTTCAAGAATTTCCGACAGACTATCTTCTAATTGAGATCTAGAAAAGTTAAAGAATACCTCTTCTGCTTCTAAGTCTGATTTTGATTCAGATGAACTAGTGTTATCTGATATGTTGGTCATTAAGGCTATATTGGCTCGTTCGTCTTCTGATTCTGTTTCAGCTTTAGAAGATTCTGAGTCATCCCACGTTGCCATAAGATTTTTCTTCTTTTCTATGGAAAACTTCTTCTTAGGCTTTTCTTTATGAAGATTTGGGCAGTCGATTTTGTAGTGACCTGGTTTGTTGCATTCGTAGCATACAGTATCTTTGTTTCTAGAATTTCTATATCCAGAAGATGATTCATAGTGATTTCCTGTTCTTCTGGGGTTCCTGAATTTCCTCTATCTATGCTTCCATAGCTGATTGACTTTTATAAAGAGAAGGGATAGTTCGTCTTCTTCTAACGAGGATCCACCAGAATTTTCTTCTTTTGTATTTGATCGGTCCCCCGACGTTATGATAGTGCAGCATTGCCTCGAACCCGTCGATATGGTCGACTGGATCGATAATACCGTCGTACTCCTTCAGATGGGGAGGTTTCTCCATACCCCGGGGAATGGGTGCCTCCATAATGGTCTAGGATAGGATACCGCGGAAGTCGTCTTCGTCGCTTCTGCCTAGAGATTGAGAAGGCGACCTGTTGTAATGGCGGTCGTGATGGCGGCCCTAGTTGCGGGGAGGATCCCTCGGTCGATGTCGTTGTTCGTCATTCCCCCTATTTTTGTTTCCAGGGGGTCTGCTCTCTTGGCGTGGGGGAACATGATCACGCCTCCCCGTATCAATGGGTTGATCCCTCTCTAACGCGGGGCGTCGGGGAGAGGGGCTTCGAGAGGCATCCCATTTGCGTCTCTGCGAGGGAGATTGGGGACGGTCCTCTATCTAATGGGGAGGAGGAGAATCAAGCCTCTTATGTCTTCTGGGAGCTCTCCGAGAATCTTCGAGCACCCTTAATCTCTTCCTTTGCGAAAAGATCAAGTAGTTTGTTTGATTTATTACCGCGGACAGTTCCATGATCGTGGCATCAACGTCCGCAGGAATTGGGACCTCCTGGAACGCGGGCGGTTGGTAGTTCTGAGGAAGACGACGATCATCCTCGAGTCGTTTGAACAGTGATGATGATGAGGCAGTTAATCCGTCTCTATACTCTGAGGGGGACGGGCATGTCACCGGCGTGGCCGTTGTTGTTGTCGGTGTTGTTATTGTTACCGTCGTTGAGGCCAGCGGGACCATCGTTGTTGATGTCGGTTTTGTGGTCGGCGACGTTATTGTTGACGTCGACGGTATGGACATTCATGTTTTTTCTGCCGTGAGATCAACCATGACAGTCAAAAAGGAGTTGGATTAGCTCTTGTCTTGGATGAATGAAAGACGGGGAAGTTGTGATTCTCACAGACGACGTCATTGATCATACCTGACCATAATGGACTGTCACAACTTACGTCGAGCAGAACTTGAGAGTGAGGTGGGGGGTACTTGCAAGACGCTCTGATACCAAAGTGAGATTCGGAATGAGCAAGCAAGTAAGAGAGTAAGAGATGTTTAATACCTGACCCTCTCAAAAGAGGAAGTATTTATAGCCTCTAACGTTGGGCCAAGGTCTCCTCATTGGACTGGTCAAGCAGACCCAAAGTGGAGACTGTCAAGTCCTACGTGAGTAGTGGAGACCCGCACGTGGTCTCTCGTCTGGACGACTTCCTCCGCAAGATTATGAGGATATGGATGCGGTCTTTCTGGAGCCACGAAGACTCCGCGATAGTCGGAGATGTTGATAGTCAGCTCTACAAGGAGATGCTCGTTAGGTGCTTTTGCTCGCCGTGGATGCTCCCCGCTAGACGCGAGGTCGTGTGAGGGGATCAGTCTTGGTTGGGGAAAGGATCGGAGGGTGATCTCGAGGTCCTCCTGACTAGCAATAATCTTCTTATGATTAACTGAGTTTATCCTCGTGCAGTGAGGTTGCCTCCTTGCGGAGAGTGGGAGTTACTGCCCGACGAAATCGAGGGCAGAACTGGCCAATATGCCTTGACCGACATAATTGGATTGGACCTCACATGAAATTGGATCAGGAACAGACTCGGTCTAGAACAATAAATAATACTAGCTAATTGAAGTAGAGAACAAATGCTTTCAAAAATTAATTTATGAAATTCACTGGGAATCAAAAATATATTTTTGAAAACTTTCAAAATAAATAAAGTCATAAAATATAATGTATTTCAAAAACGAAAGAATTATATGTGTTGTGCGTCCCAGAAATACAATTCCAAAATCTGAAAGCATTTTCGAAAACTCAAGCGATACACTAAAAAGTTATAGGGTGGACCCAAATTAGTTTTTTTTTAATTAGCATGATAACACCATTTTAGGCTTGAAAAAAAAATGAAAACACCTCGTTAACTTTAGTTAAAACAAACATTCTAATGCAAACAATCCAATCTATTGTAAAAATGCACTTCACTAAATTGGTACTATGTTATAGAAACGTTACAGCATCCCTCTCACAAGGAAGATAAAAAGAGAGATGGCTAATTATGAAAGATATTTTCACACCTAGTTTATTGAAATTGCATCAATACAGGTCTCGCGTGAACATGATAAACAAGCAATAGAATTAACTAATTAAGGAGCAAATGAATTAAATAAGAAAATGAATTACTTCAACTAACACTCATATTGAATTGTTTAAACCTATAAACAATCTCACATATTTAGAATATGTATAAAGTTTCAATCCTTATAGAACTATTATCCAATCTTGGAGGATAGATTACACAATTTCTATCTTAAAACGGATGTAATGCATTCTTTTCTACACACACAAAAAAAAAAACAGCATGAGAATTATGACAGCATATTGCTCTTCCATGATTGTGTGATAAAAGTGATGCCAAAGGCCTTCTCTTGTTCTTTGATTGTATGATACACAACTCAAAAAACAGAATTAACAAAAAACAATACTCCACTGTTAATTAACAACATAATGAAGAGATACATTATCATACATTTTAAATTTATAGAATATACTCTAGAATAAAACTAGCAAAACGTTGTCGAACGTTTATAAGTTCATCCTCATGGAATGGTTCTGAATTTCCAAATACCTAGATGAATGTTGAAATAACATAAGATTAGCACATAACATTAAAAAAAAAACACAACTAAATAGTAATACAACTTGTTAAAAAACTATATTACCTTCTTCTTCCATGGATCAATAATACCACCAGATACAATGTTCAACATATGTATCATAATATAGTAGCCGCTTTCATAAGTACCAGGCTGTCTTTGACACTAAATTTGAATATCGAGGGTGAATTTTAATTAAAATTTATACATTAGGTAACTTCTACAAGTTATAAGTGAAAGTTCAGAAAACTTACGACGGGGACATTCCATATTGGCTTCTTCTTTTGAACACCTTGCAGCTTATGATATCCATCAAAAGCTCTAAAGTAATAAAAGATCAATTAAAGTTATGTATTTGTGTCATAAAACATATCAGAGTATATGTATAATAAACAAATTAAACACTTACGTATCTATAGTGTGAATAATATTTTTATCTGGTTTTTTTTCCAACGAACATGGGAATACTACATGATTCTTCTTAGGGCAAACAATGAGCAATTGCCAATGACGGCTACATTGAAGAACAAATCGTTAGATATGTGTTGAATACAATTCTCTCAATTATAAACAATGTACTATAATCAACATGGACTTACTTGTTGTGATAAGGAGCTAGGTAACACTCTTTTTTATCATTGTATAACTTATTCTGTATGTAGGCTTCAGCTTTAGTTGGATCATGTGGACTTTGAATAAAACATGGATCAATAAATCCATACAAGTCACTCTTACCCTCATTAATAGAAAGGCGATTCAAATACCTAAAAATATTGAAATAAATAATAATTATAAATGATCATTAGTTAGTTAGTTAAAGTTATAAAATAATGTACTTACGTTAGCCACAATCGTAGAACAGTTATGGATAACTCTTGTTTGCCCATACACAATTCCATAATATCTCTCTGTGAGAGCCAGAGAAACTTCATCCTTTCGTGTTCCAATTCGAGCTTTATAGATTCTGACATACACATTGCCTTTAAAACCAATTGTTGAACTGAATCTAGTTGAGGGTCCACCCTTTTGGCTGAAATGTCCTCTTCCCCAGATCCATCAGCATCCTATATAATTAGGACTGAACATTAGTTAACATATTTAAGAGGATTGATGTATATAGTGCAAGAAAAATGTAATGAATACCTTATCAGAAATAATTTGCACAAGTCTTTTCGGCCATTGAATAAAATTGTTAAGAGCGTGCCCAACCGTTTCCACTTCATCTGTGGGCATAGGCACTTGAGCATTTGCATCTAGGACCTCGTTAACTACCACCCTCACCATATCCTTTTCTAGCATTTGATTATGTATGGTGAGCCCTAACTTGTAAACACTACCAAAGGCCACGGCATGAATTAAATTATCAACATACAGTTCACATTCTTTTGGGATTTCCTCCTCCTCTGGTATAGGCGGCTCAATGGAGTGACTACCCTTCGGGCACGCAGGCACAATGTTATTAGGAGAACTAGCTGGTAAAATCTTAGAGAAACCCATAGATGACAAATCATGTATCAATTGCTCTCTAATTTGTTCAGTAAGCTCCACTTTTATGGTCTCTATTTGTTTGCTACTAAAAACAGGTGGAGTGGAGGCTTCACGTGAATGTGGTCCAAAGTATTGTCGAATACCGACACCACGACCAACACCACGAACACCACCAGAGTGGTCAGGACGGCCAATGGCTTCTGCCAAAATATCTTTACGTCCTTGTGGAACAAAAGCTCCTTGAGATGCTTTTTCAACAAGAGAATCCTACACCATATAATTTAAAAAATATTTTAGATAATTGCGAGTTACTTGCGTAACTACAAAATTAGAGTTGTATATTTGCTTACAATTTTCTCAGCAATGATGCGTGTGTCCTCTGTTATGTAATCTCCTGATGCATTTTGTCGAGCTTTCTTCCATTGTTCATGGCGTGCTGGTGGAGATGGAGGTGCAATTACTGAATCTCCCGATGATTCGTCTTTTTGTTTTAATTTCTCTTGCATTATCTTCTCCTCGAGCAACTCATATCCCCCACGAGACAATCTGTGAGGGTGTTTGTTTAGAAAAGAACTGATTTGCGCTTTCTTTCTTTTCTCCTATTACGCAAACACACAAATTAAATTTAATACTAAAAACATATTTGGTCGACCAACTAAATTATAAACTCAACTAACCTGAAAGGAAGGGTCCAATCGCATTTGAACAAACTCCTCCCATATTTCTTCAGTTAGAAAACTATAGACCTCAAGAGGAGATATATCACTCAGATCTCCATGTACATATTTGGAAGTCAAATGAGTCTTAAAATTCCTCCAACGTTCACCCACATAAGACATCAATTTTTTACGTAAGAACCCAGAATTAGGAACATCCCATATTTCCTACATTGCACGACAAAATGGAGAAGTTAGTGACTGATAATAAGATAGTTAAATACAACATTTACAAACATAATTACAACTACCAAGATGCTTGTCCAAATGTCATCTTTCACGTCCTCATCTACGGAACCCCATTCATTAATCAAAATACTGATTTTGCTTCGACTAAGGAAACCCACATAACTCTTGAACTTTGTCTTGTTTTCCCCTGACGGTTTACCCGTTAATTGATTAAATTCAATCGGTATCCTTTGTCCATCAATAAGTGCTAACTTTTTCATTTGTGTGGGACCACGTTTACGCTTTCTGTTGGTAGACTGAGTATCTAAACCACTTCTGGAATGAGCCAAGAGATCATCCATGTGTCTGTTTAAACAAAAAAATAATAATGGTCAATAGCTCCTCTAAATAATGGATAAATAACACAAGACAATTGATAAAACTATCATATATGGGTACAATTTACTATAAGCAATCAAAGTAAAAATTACAATTAAGATAAACTAATATGGATAAAAACCATTGTAAAAAATCAAATAAATATTATTCAAATAAAACCATCATATATCACATATAAGTAATTAAAGTAAAAATTGCAGTTTAGTTTTCTAAGATGGTCTAGTTTGAATATTCTCTCGTATCTATTTTATGATCATAAAAGTGTCAAATAATCACAGGAATACCCATCAAACACATTCTTCAATCAAGAAACTTAGATAAATACTTACGTCATTTGTTGGCTGCCTTAGGCCCAAAATCATCATATACAACATAATATAATGCATTTGTACAAGTAGGTGTTTGTACATAACTAGAAGAAAATACCATGAACTTATAGTTACTAATAAACTACCATATTAATCCATTTTATCTATTGCAAGACGAAGCACATCTTTCTTAGTAAATTTCTGAAATTAAGAAACAAGTCGTCAACTTTCTTCCATTACAAAGAATTAGTCACATGATGAATCACATTTCATTTCGTCTACATGCCATATAATATTCTTTGCATCGTTTAAACAATCATTTGAAACATTGTGATTATTGGAAGATACAATAACACTTTTGCAAGAGGACCCTTTCTGCTTACATCACAACAAGAATAACCATCACCATCACTCACTTTGTAGCGCGATATCCCACCTTTGGAGTACTCATTCAAATTTTCAAACACTTTTATCTACAAATGTGTGATCACTAGAGCATGAGCATATCATTCAAAAGAGTTGTTCTTTCCGATTTCCCAGTTTTTCATCAATTTAGCTAATAGTTATTTTTTGAAGTAAATTCTTAACATAAGCTAACCATATTCCATATCTTGTATCACACACTTTTTTTTTCTACAACATATCTTATATTCTACATCAACCCAGCAGTAACACTAAACAATACAATAAAATGCAGTAATCAATGAAGAAAGCGATGAAAAAAAGAGTAGAGGCTCACTTTGAGTGGTTGATTTTATGAAGCTGCATTCTCTGAGAATCCTTCGAAAATTGCATCTTCTGTTTCTCCAAAGCCACATTTTTTCTCTGCTTCGATGCGTCCACTCTCTCATGTATCTCACTAAACTTGTCTGTAGCACTTGCAACCTCTCTATGCCCAAATTCCATATCATTTCTTCCCCTCTTCCTCTTCTCACTCTCATTGCTCAACTCCAAATAATCTGAATCTGAGTTATCGGAATTCGAATCATCAATCTCCTCTTCCGCGGCTGCAGCAGCTGCTGCAGCAAAGGCAGCTAAATTCCGATTAAAACGCGATTCACCCAAGCTCTCCGAAGGAGATGTTATCTCCGGCGCAGGTCGTTTTAGACTGCTCTGACTCTGAGTCCAAGATCGGCGACCAACCGGAGCAAGCGCCCATGCCGAAGCCCTAACAGAAGTGACAACCGGCGGCGATAGTGATGGCTGCTTCACCGGTAAAACATCTCCAATGACGGAATTGATTTTCTCGAAAAAGGGCCATGCGTAGTCGTAGTTGCCGGAATCAGAAACCTTAGCTTTCTCGGTAGCGTACCTCTTCTTGAGCGCGTTGATGCGGCTTTTGCACTGATCGTAAGAGCGGCGCGCTTTTCTGACGAAGGCGTGATTGTCGTTGACGGCTTTTGCGACCTCCTTCCAGTGATACTGACGGAGGTTTCTAGGGTTAAGCGTCTTGTAAAGTTTGCCCCAGGCGTCAATGAGTGTGAATGTGGCCTCCTCGGACCAGCCGTCATCGGTGCCGGTGGACGGAGACGGTCGAGTTCTGGGGAGCGGTTTCATGAATCACGGTGCGGTTGTTTATCGGAATTTGTGTTTTATTAAATTGGGCGGTGTTATAAGTGAGTCTGCAAACTTTGAAGGAATGTTTAACAACGCTAGGACTTAGACGGTATTAAAGCGGAACTTATATTTACTGCGGTTAGTTAAATGCACGTTTTTAAACAGTGAGGAGAATTGTGACCGTGTGATTAATATCAAGCGGCCCAAAAAAATACTTAGATCTTAGTTCTTTTTCTAAAATATTAAGACACTACCTTTTACACCTACACCTACACCTGCAACACAAAAAAATCAAAATCTTGCTAACACTTCTCATCATCAATTCAAAAATACTATGACAATGTGTAGCGGTATAAATGTTCAAGACTAAGTCATTGAATTGACTAGACTTTATACAAATCAAAATAAAAATCGTCACCGCGCTTTATTGTTTTCAAAGGAATGGGAAAAGAGGAATAACTCAAAAAGAGGGGGAAAGATTCAAGGTAAGAGGGTTGGTTATGCAAAGGGAAAGTATTAGCACCCTAAACATCTACGGTACTCCGCAGGAACCTCTTTGTAAAATCTGTATATTTTGGCTATAAAATATGTTGTATATAAAATGGATGGTGGAGGTGAGAAAAGAAATATTTTTTTTTATGATTTTTACACCTGCCGCGGTTGCGAACCTTTAGTGCCTACGTATCACCATTCGTGCAATAGGGGATCAGGGTACACGTAGTTCCTCTTTTAAAAATTAGAAACATAAGTGTGTTGGTTAATTTTATGAGATAAAACATCATCGTCATTGTCCGTGTGAAAAATATACTTACTACCCACAATCATGAGAAAGGAGAATTTGCATCATCTCAAAGTGGAGGATATGACTTGGATTTTAAAATCAACAATGCCTCACTCAACACTCAAGTGAAAAATATCTCACTTAATTACATATTGTAGAAGTATAGTTGTTTGCATCACTACAAGAATTGACAAGAGTCTAATCTTTTGAGAAAAGTTTAAAGATAAAAGCCAAAGTGGCAAAAATGGTTTGAAATGAGATTGATTGACTGAAGTTGATTGAAGTATTATTAAGTTGACCTAAGTCCCACAAAAAATGTCAAAGTATTATTAAGTTGATTGAAGTTTATTTATGAAAATATTTTGGAAATGCATGGACCTAAGTCCAAGTTTATTATGAAAGTGGTTCAAGTTTAGAAACAAGAAGTTTTTTCAAAAAAGAAGGGAGAAGATTTTTGAAATTAAAGAAGATGGGAGGAGAAGAAGGGACTATCCTAAAGCATAAGGTAAAAGCTAATGAGAAGAACCATCTAACCAACAAGAAGCCAATACTTGACATTATGAGTCAAGATAGAATTCCCATTCTTTGAATTGAAACCAAGCAAGCAAAGATACTAGACCTCTTGAGAGAGCCAAACTTCAAGCAAATTAAGTCTTCACAAAAATTGGGCAGAGTAACGGCTGTATACGGGTGAATTCCAGATTACAAACCAAGAGTGTAGTCACAATAACCTGCACACAAAACAAACAAACAACCCAATGTCTTGAGGTAAACCTCAAGAACTCCAGACAAAATATCAATTAAGGTCCAAGGTCTCCAACATAGGCCAAGGTTTCTAATCCTAAGTCCAAGAAGTCCAACACTTCACTATGCCAAGGATAGTAACCAAATAGTCCAAGTATCATTAAAGATTTTTATGGTTTATGTTGATTATTAAGTATCTTCAAAAATAAAATAAAATCTCAAGTGAGCAAAATAAAAATGACATAAAAGTAAATGCTCAAGTGAGCAAAGATGAAAATAGCATGAAATGTAAATGCTAAAGTAAATAGTACATAAAGCAAAAAAAGCATAAGGCAAAGAGCATAAAATAAAGTCAATTGTTAGAAATTAGTGGTTAGTTGGATGACCATCTTGAAACTTGCATTTGGAACTCATTAGAGGATTGGTAGAACCAAAGCCTCCACACAACAAGTTGCATTTGCTTTTCGTCAAGTATATCATCCATTTTGGAATCCTCAAAAGTAACATTTAATGATCAACAATGTTTAAGTGATCCGCGTTGACCAAAGGTGATGTAGATCCATTAGAGGATTGGTAGAATCAAAGCCTCCACATAATGAATCTCAAGGTTATTGGATCAAAGAGATCAAATTAACATACTTGGGCTTGCAAACATAGGTTTGGACCACGAATGATCATTTATTTGAATCAGGACAAAATTTAGCGATATGTTAAGCAATCGTAAGTGGACTTATGTAGAAGTCACACCTATTTTGAGGTCGGTCAATAGCAATCTATGTACTTCATGTTTGGATAAATGATATAGAGATCATCACCCCTTAACATGTAGCACAATTAAAAAAGAAATGGATAAGATGAAGAGGGAGGGGAATGATAAGCTAATTTGGATCACAACCTTAAATTTCTTTCATCTTTAAATTCAATCACTCATCTAGATGGATTAAAGCACTAAACATATCATCAATCCAAGGCACCAAGAATGAATTAAATAATTTACTCTTTAATAGATTTGAATTGATGAACATTTATCCAACTTCATCTACACCACAAAATCCATTGAATTTAAAGAGAAATTGGACATTTAAAATTGTAATCCAAATTATCCATCAAAGAGAGTGAGCAGAAAAAATATTTGAGTCAAAGCAGCCCCAAAATAAGGAAGAAAAAGTATTTTTGGCACTGTTATAATCGATTATGCTTAGACAGCAACCAATTGCATCAGTGCAGTTTTTTTCAAATCAATTTTATGTGGCAATCGATTGTAATGTTATAACAATTGATTGCAACCTGTTAAAATCAGTAGAAAACAGCATTTCAAGGATCAAATTCTTGTTCCAACTTTTCGTCAAACACCTTATGATTGTGGATCCAATTGAGCATGAAAGTTCCATCAAATTATGAGAAAATAGCACTAATGGAATCATAAATCAGTGCTCAATGAATCAAAACCAGAAATCCACAAGAGATCACATTGTGAAGGATGATGATCCAACTTACCAAAGGTAGAATTAGAAAATTATCAAACAACTTCCAAAATTTGCTTCAATTCAACCACAAGAATCAATTACTAAAGCTTGGATGTAGAGAATTGATGAAGAAAAAGTGTTTAGATGAAGGTTTAGCTCAAAGATTAGTAAACTTCAATGCAAAGCTTACTATTCTTTTTTTGAAAATGGAGCTTTGAGTGAATTTGGTAGATGGAGAGAATTGAGAGATTTTTTTAGCAAAATGAGTTTGGCTATCAAAAGCTTATGATTTGAATGAAATGAGGTCTCTATTTATAAAGTTTAGGATTAGGATTAGTGATAATTTGGTAATTGATTCTTAGAGCCAAAAATTGAATTAGTGATATAATTTTCAAATTATGCAGAAAAATTGGAGCAAAAAAGATGACAGTTTTGAAATTGCTAGTTTTTTTCAAAAATCACATGTGTTTTGCTGCTATGAGTCGACACAAGAGTCGTATGCGTCGACACATTCTAGTTGTATAACACAACATGAGTGGACGCAAGCTTCTATGGATCGATACAAGCTGTCTTTTCAACACAATACAAAATTAATCAATTTGCATGAGTCGACGCAAGCTTCTATGGGTCGATACAAGCTGTTATTTCAACACAATACAGAATCAATCAATTTGCATTAGTCGACGCAAGCTTCTATGGGTCTATACAAGCTGTTATTTTAACACAATACAGAATCCATCAATTTGCATGAGTCGACACATAACATGTATGTGTAGACACATGCTAGTTATACAAAACAGGATGAGTCGACACAAGCCTCTATGGATCGATGCAAGCTGCTTTTGTCAGCATATTACAGAATTGATTATCTTGCATGGGTCGACACATAACACGTATGTGTCGACACATACTAAATTTTTTTGATTTTTGAAGGTTAAAAATACACTTTTTTCAAAGATTGTGCACAATACACTCTGTGCAATCAATTGCACTATGGGAGCAATCGATTGTACAAGAAAACAAAAATGAAATTTTTTATATATTATTATTATTCTTTGCAAATAAAGAATTTAGGGAAATAATACCGGAAAATCTTATTTGTCGGATGCTTTGACTCGGTACCTACAAAACACAAATATACAAAGGCAAAAACAAATATTTTTTGTATTTTGGTTAGAGGTTAATTATCAACGCATATATAAAATACACAACTAAGGTGCTTGGAGATTCCTCAAGAGCAAACTTAAAGATAGGAGATAGAAAAAGAGGAAGAATCAACCCTAATGTGATTTTGCTATGATCAAGTTGACATGATATGATAGGGGAATCTTAGGGGCAAAAATTGGGGTACAACACAATGCAACATACAACATCAGGGAATTAGTAACTCAAAACCAATGGTTTAAAGGAGAGAAAGACGAAAATAGGTTTCATAACATTTTAAGGCATACACACACTTTACATACATTTTGCATATACAAACATTCAATACACATACACTCAGGGTTCCATATCAATATCAGACATCATACACATACATACAACAAACAAACAATCTCACCCTCGATTTAGCTATCTAAGGGTCAATCATCAAAACACATTTCTCCTACAATCCAACCTGTCACCTAAGACTCCATGTAGTGATATGTTCAGCTCATCACCTAAGACTCCATGCAGTGTTGTGTTCCTTATAACGTAGCATTACCTAAGTCTCCGTGCAATAATGTATGAAACCTAGTATATTGCCTAAGACTCCATGCCACAATGTTCGAAAGCCAAATAAGATTCGTCACCTAAGAATCCATGCAGTTATGTGCTTATCCCATCACCTAAAACTACACGCAGTGATGTTCTCCCTAAATAATGTAGTTCATTACCTAAGCCTCCATGTAGTAATATACGAAGCTCGGTACATTTCCTAAGACTCCATGCAACGATGTATTCCCCTCATCTTACCCATTACCTAAGACCTCAGGCCGTAATGCACGAAACTTAGTTCATTGCGTAAG